CCATTTTGAAACTATCTGAAAACAAAATTATTTGCATCAAGGTCCCATAATGTTAATGTATATACCAAGTTTGAGCAAAATCCATCTGTAAACAGCCGAGAAATGGTTGATTTTTACGATTTTTTAGCACAAAAATGGCCGCCATTCGGCCATCTTGAATCAGATCGTAAAACAAAATGATGTGCATCAAGGTCCTATAATGTCTCATGTATATACCAAGTTTGAACAAAATCCATCTGTAAACAGCCGAGAAATGCTTGATTTTGATGATTTTTAGCACAAAAATGGCTGTTATTCGGCCATCTTGAATCAGATCGTGAAACAAATTGATGTGCATATGTATAATATCATGTATGATGTATGTGTGAAGTGTGATTGTGATTAATCCAGGCATTTCTAAGATACAGGTCCGGACGCACGCACAGACGCACGCACGGACACACGGAGGTCAAAACATAAGTCCCCGTTTTCGGACTGCGTCCGAACGGGGACTAAAAAATAGGGAAGACAAATGACAAGCTTCAATAGCTCACCATGGGTGAATACAATGATTAGATGAATAATGCCAGGCCAGAAATACTTGAGAAACATTCTATGAAAAGTTGTAATGTTTTTGCAACTAAAACGGGGAATTTAAAACAAACAAACGGATGTGCATTATGTCTTACTTTTAAACCTACTTTAATAATTGGTAGAAATCCGTAAAATGTATGTCTGAGAAATGCTTATGAAAAAGTGAAAATACAAATAAAAGACAACCAGTCAGCCAGTATAAATCAAATTGAGAAACAAAATGAAGTATACCAGTAACCCACCATGAATAATGTCACTACCAGGTAATAATGTTCAACGCATGGACGAACAGAATCAAAAGCTCTAGTCCCAATTTCAGACTAAGCCTGATAAGAAACTAACAAATATTGTCATACATTGCGTTCTACGTCACCAATGGTTTGACTGACATGCATATGGTATGGATTCATATCATATCATGACACATATCATATCATATCATATCATATCATATCATTATCTTGGTATAAATCATGTGGGCTTGTCATGCTTACCTATATTCTGGATAGAGCTATGGCTACTGGTGTCAATAACTTTGTTGTCGACAACCGAGGACTGATCACCAATTATCATGTCTGGTGTAGATGGCAATGTAGAATCCTCCTTATCACATTTTAATTTCTTTGTCTTCATACAAACTGTATCTCCATCTACCAATTCTCCACAAATGTCAGCATCATCAAGTTTACGCTTATCGATTGTTGCTTTTTGATATGTCTTGTTATTCTCTCCAACTTTGTTTGTATTACATGATTGGTCATAGAGGGCAGTATTGCCTAGTTTGAATTCATTCTCATTCAATTCTGCCACTGTATGTGTCATTATATTGGCAGTAACACAGCTATCTCCTGACTTTTGAAAATGCTGAGTGACATCTTCAGTTCCAGTGACTTCTGTCACATGGAATGTACCTTCAATATCGGTGGTGTACTCGTCATCATTCATTTTGGGGCCAATATCGCTGGGTTTCGTACTTTTCGATAAACAGTATTCCATATTTAAGGAATCAGTTGTGTTCATTTCAGTGGCACAGTCACAAATGTCTACATAAGGAGAATCAGAATCATCTGTTGTCCAGGCAACTGCATCACTTAATCTTGGATCTCCGCAGTGTAATTTGGTACATTCCTGAATGGTATTAGTTTTCAGCAATGACATAACACAGCACTCATCATTCAAAATGGACAGATTTTCCGGCAAAGTTTTTCCGTCATATTGTGACATCAAACATGTGGACTGTACTGCACAGCCCCCAAATCTAGTTATTTTATTTTGATTATTCAAACAACTTTCACAAGATGTCATCTTAGGAATCTGATTGTCAATACTGATTATTCCGTATTTGTCTTTTGTGTCATTATCGTTCTCATCAAGTGTTTTTACAGTGGTTTCCATGGTAATTGGATTAACTAAAGTGGTTTCCTTGGTATTTGGCTTATCTAAAGAATGTACCTGATGTTTAAGATGACTATCACACACATCACATTCTCGCTTTGCATGTTTTAATTTTACAGTATCCTTATCAGTTGTAGGTTTATCCGAACACGATATCTCTTGCACCTGACAGTCATCGTTCATCTTTTGAAAAATCTCTTCATCATTTGCTTCATCTTTTTCCATGGTATTGTCATCAGTACCATCACCATCTTTATCTGGATTACCCTTTCCTTCAGAATCTGTGGAGTCTTTTTTGGCATGGCCAATGCTGTCATCTTCATCATCATTCACATCATCATCGTTATCATAATTATCATCGTCAGACACTTTGTCATCGCCTTGTTTGATTGCTCTCTGGCCAATGAGGCGCTTGCCTTCCTCAGCACTATAAACAAACAGTGTTGATATCATAAGGTCATATTACTCTGGAACAGCATTTGTTGACAATCAGTCGGCCATTTTGAATTTGTTCTGAATAAATGTGCACCAGGATCTCATACTGTCCAATGTTTGTACCAAGTTTAAATGAAAAACCCATACATGACGTGATTCGGTGATTTTTAACATTAAAATAGCTGACATTTGGTTATTTTGTATTGGATTGTCAAATGTGCAACATAATGTATATCTAAAGTTTGAATATGATTGGTCAGGGAATGTGTGAGATATGACTGTGAAGAATTTGTTAAAACAAAATGACATGCCTCAAGTTCTTATCATATCTAATGTATGTACTAAGTTTGAATGAAATTTGTTCATACACAACCAAGATCTGGTTCAGAATGGAAGAATGTTTATTTTGATATATTTTTAGCACAAAAATGGTCGCCATTTGGCCATTTTGAATCAGATCGCGAATGACATGTATATGTATTCCAAGAGACGTGATGGGTATATGAAGTTTGATTGTAATTGGTCCAGGCATGCTGGAGATACTGCTGGAGACCCATACACACATGAGGTCAAAGATCAAAACGTAATTTCCTGTTTTCAGACTTCATCCGAATGGGAACTAAAAATAGAGAAATACCTACATATATTTTATCAAACTAATCAGGATACTGGTAGTCATTTTCAAGAAGAAAATATTCACTAAAATTAGAGAATTAAATTATTGTCACAAAATAAATGAATCTGATAGATATCCACCCAAGGTACCTTCATATAAAATATTACTGCTATACTGCTTTGTGAACATTACTAAATAAGCTGTTTTGTTATGATTAGGTGATTGGAACATTTTAGTCAAATCAACAGGGAAGTAAAACTAATACTGACGGACACGTTGAATACAGAAGATTTTCTCTTAAATTTATTTTATTCAATAGTATAAGAGCCTAGACAGCGAATAACAAATATTAGAGAAACAAGTCACCTCATGGTTGAAATAGATCAGCTGTCTTTGCAGATTGTTTTCCTCAAAACAAATTAAAATTAATGTTCTACGATGAAATATTAAAATGAGGTGGACGTTGTGAAGCGTGTGTTAGAATTTCATGTAAACAAACAATGTATTTTACACACGTTGTGTACGTCGCTATGAGTTCCATATCAAACAGAACTATTTTCTATGGTTATTGTCACCATAACTTTCTTTCTATTTCAAAACCATGGTAGTTTATATAGTTGTTGCTATGGTAATTACAATTGTTATTATCTTTTTACAAACCATACCAAGTATCCAAGCAATTTTTTACCATAAATAACTAAACTATTTGCAAAAAATAGAGAATTAAAGAAGTCGTCACATGATGAACAAATCAGACAGAGGTCCAACCAAGGTACCTTCATACCAAGTATCTAAGCAGTTGAGCTAGTAGTTTACAAAAAGAAGTTGAAACAATGTTTTTTTTACAATAAATGACAGGCAGACAGACAGACAAAGAGTGATATTTGTACAAGGAATCAAAACACTGACCTTATAATCTGGTGCACACTGATAATATATTCTGGTTTCTTTGTACATTTGTTGACACACAGGTAACCATACATTTTTTCATAGATAGTTTCACCAAATTTACTGCATGTTCTACCAACTAGGTGAACAACTCCATCACTGAATACTGAGTGAAAGGAAAGCTTATATGTTAATTTCTATTATGTTACAATTATAATGGAAATTATTCACAGCTTATTGGTGATAACAGTCACAATTCATTTATTAATTGTTGGAAGTTTCTACATTAAAAACAGGAATCCATGAAAATGTACAATCAGTCAGATGTTAAGTGATAGTATCTAGACAATTTTATTGTAAATATCAACAAAGATGGATGACTGAGTGTTAAAGATCATAAAGACACTACATCATAGCATAACTGTAGTTACTTGCAATACTTACATTGTTTGTGCAATTTTTCCATGGCAACAACATCTTGTTGATGCAGGAACGCATAAGCTGATTTTCCAACCACTTCTTCAGGCATGTATCCAGTATGCCGGCTTGCTCTATAATATGAAGAAATTTATTTCAATATATATTTGTTTTTCATTTCTTTTTTTTTAATTTTTACATTCTTAATCATTTTTGTTTTCTAGAGCGAACAAATGGGTATTGTCAAATAGAGAATTGACATTAAAGAATTGTCATTTCCAGAAGATGTTGAAAATAGCAATTTTTGCAAAATGAACAAATCCAGAGGTTCATTCAAGGTATTTACATGTAAAATATAGAAACAACTGAGCTGGCCATTTTCGAAAAGAAGTCAAAAATAGTATTTTTTTTACTAGGAATGGCAGAAATATTCCCTTAAATTTAAATTTAACCTATCGTCACAAAACCAACAAATCTGAGCGACAACCATCTAAGTCAATATACAGCTGATCTTTTTATGAAATTGATGGACAATGGCAGGGAACAAGCAGTTTGTCAACAGCAGAGCTGACAACATAGCAGAAACAATGTTGTTGTCACAGAAAAATGAACGATTACACAACTGTAGTAAGAGATCTCAAAGACATTAATAGACAATTATGACATAAACTTTATCTTATAATTAGACATAATTCACTTGCTCCCCCAAAATGTGCAGCCTGTAACTCATCTTCAGAGAGAATGCACAAAAATGCAGATGACCACAAATAAAGCAAGTATGAGGCAGTTGCAAACAAATTAAATTTGCAAATCATGGTGGGTGAAAAATTGTGGCATGTGAAAAGTCACAATTAAAATTGGTAGATGTGTGCCAACCTTAAAGGGCGGCAGTCGTCCAGCGTTCTGTTCGATATGGGACTCATAGCGACGTATACAACGTGTGTAAAATACATTGCTTATTTAAATGAAATTCGAACATGCGCTGCGCGACGACCACCACATTGAAAAACAAAAGACAAATTAATTGATAACTTAAAACAATAAAACATACTTGCACAATTCTACTTTAATAAATTTCGTAAACTCAAAGAATATAAATTCAGAGTTACTTACACTGGATGTGTGAAGTTAATAATTCCCATCATATCATGCCTTGTTATGTATTCCCCTTCAGGTGGAGCTGAAATGATGTCTTGTATTCGTAATTCAGTCTGTAATCGTCCCACAGCAATCATACTAATTCCAGGCTGCAGTGGAAAATGACTTCCTAACAATAACAAAATAATAAAATTAACACAATAATTACTTAATACATTAACACGTTTCTGAGTGAGTCATTTGTAAACTACAATTGCTACATTTACACAACAGTATTCTATCGGGTCGAACTACTGCTCCTCCCACTGATTAACAGGATGATCATTGCCCAATGTCGCAGTCAAACGGCTCTTATTTTTGCAATCATGGGTGTTACCATTCATTCATCTACAATTGTCCGCAAAGTGTGGCAACATACATGTAGTAGTCAATGGTGAGAGGAGATAGGGCATGATTTCAGCCGAATGG